TTCAAAAGTTCCATGTGATAGGCTTCAAAAGTATGTGTGATTTTGACGCAATTGATTGAGTTATGAAAAAAATAAATAATTTAGACGCGATTAAAAATTGAGATTTTGGAATTAGTCAAAGCCAAATTAATTTTGACAGCATGCATATTCCGGACTCTTTTTAATATGTCACTTACTTGACCTGGACTAATTGAATATTGTATTGCTAATTTGATTTTTTTGTTGGGGTTGATTTCTTTTTAATAAGCAAATTTCTCTTTTTGCTCAGCTGTAATAAAGTTTCGCTTTTTAGATGATGATGGTTGTCCTTGTGACGTTTTTTGTTTTTAAAATAACCAACAATCCAAACAACAAAACTTGTATTTATACCTTTTAGAATTTCAGAAAATAATCATAATCATACAATGAATTCTTGTCTATATTAATATAATTATGGCAGATTGTACGTTTTTATTTAACATATTAGTATTGGTATGTTTTTTATCAATTATCATGTGAATTCGTTGCAACGTGATTAGTAACTATTACTATTACTATTACCAAAGCTTTTTTTTTAAAAAGTTTATTTATTTATTATGCGCCAAAAAAAATCATGATAATGTGATTATCAATTATGTGGCGATTTTGATTATTATTATTGTTTATTTATAATGACGGCAACTTGTGATAATAATAAGAATAAAAAACGAGAAATCAAAATCTTGTTTTAAAAAGGCTTAGTTGATGTTTCAAAGCAGCAATTAAGTTTTAGTTTGAATGATCCATCTAACCGTGAATATACAACACAAAAATTTTTTTTGTAATGATTTAAAAACTGAACTAGATGATTGAACCTTTAGAACATATAAATAACGTTGTAAGTTTCTTCATTTTTGTTTCTTTATCGTAATTGCATCCACATAACAAGAATATATATAATAAACCTATTTTTAACCATAAAAAAATAAACTTGAAATTATTTTCCTATTTTTTTTTAGGGTAATATTATATACAGAAAGGTTCTTTTTATGAAATATACAGAACCAACCTAAGTGACAAATAAGGATTAATTCTTAGAGTTGGTAAACACTGTGTAATTCCTGCTACCCCAGCCCACAAATTTAATCATCACATCTGTGATAAATGTCACATTGGTTTTACAAAAATTTTGAGCTACAATTTAGTTTCCTTTTTTATAGAATGAATTGCTATTTTTGGTAGGGTTCTGTATATTCCATAAAAAGAACCTTTCTGTATATAATATTTTCCTAATTATAAATATTGATTTCCATTCCCTTTAATATTTCAGTAGCTTTTGGATGTTTATTTAAAGCTGCTAATTTCAAATATTTAGTTCCTTCCACTTTATCTTTTTCAACACCAAGTTTTTCATTAATATATATATCACCCAAATTAAATTGCGCATTGGAATTTGAATTGTCAGCAGCCATTTTAAGATATTGGATAAATTCTTCTTGATTGTACTTAGTTTTATCTTCAAAAAATGAGAATGCATATCTTAATTGTGCTTCTTTGAACAATTTGGCTGCCAATGTTTTATCTTTATAACCACAATATCCTTCCCACAAATAATATCCTTTCCAATATTTTGCTTTTGAATTGTCAAGGTCAGCATGCAATTGAAAACATGTCCATGCTGTTTTGTAATCTTTGATTTTATGGGCTGAAATACACTCCTCAAGTGTAATAATTTGTGTGGTTATTAAGGTTTCTGGTCCAAACTGTTTTCTCAAAGCCCAAACTAGTTTGGGCAATTTGGGCTTCTCAGCATTTTTTATAAACATGAACATTAAAAAACTATACCAATCAACTTATTTTAACTTAAACAACTTTAAAGTAATTTTGCCCAATTTCGGCTAATAACAAGAAATAGTTTGGGCTTATAAAAAAGTAATTTTTGCCCAAAGTGTTTTGGCAAGTTCAGCTACTAATAAAGAGAGTTTCGGCCAGAAACCTTAGTGATTACAGCAACTTGAGGAGGTTCTTTGAATTGACTACTAATATCTTTATCACTTACAGAAATAGGTTTCTTTCCTCCTCTTAAAGATCCATCAAAATCAATAGTTATTGATGGGTGTAAATGCGTTTTAGCAACAGGAGGGGGTATTGTGAATATAAACCATCTAATTGAAAAAAACACTCTGAAGTGATGATCTTAATGGAAGGATCTTCTTCTTATGCTTTTTTTTGTCAAATAATAATATGTTAAATATTAATTTCATATAAATAAATACAAATACGTAAATAAATTTGTTTGTATGTTAAATTATTAATCCTATCTCCTCTTATAACTTTGGCATAATCTTGTTGGTGATTTTTGGTTTCATCATCTACTTCACCAAATTGTATGTTTTCTCTACCACCAGCTAATACATATTCTTTAATGAAGTTTCACCCAAGCATAACCAAATTTAGCAATTTTTAATATTCATCTTTTATAAATAAATGATATTTTTAATATTAATAGATAATATAATAATATTTAATATTAATGATTTTATTTTATTTTGGTTCATTAAATAAATAAATAAATAAATAAATCAAATCTAAAATTTATTATAACAATAGATGTAAATTTTCAACTATGAATGATGAACTGATTTTGTCCCCAAACATTTAGGCATGGCTAATTTTGGTGATACTAATAATAACTTAGAGGAATTAATAACCATAATTAAAACTATTTGTGATGCTTATAAATATCAATTTTCAATTTGTTTAACATTTCAATTGCTTTTGAGTGTTCATCTAAAGCAGCTAATCTCAAAAGTTTAATTCCTTTATTTGCATCTTTAGGAGTCCCAAGTTTTCCATTGTAATACAAATCACCTAAATTATACCTAGCTGCTGCATTTCCATTATCAGCAGATAATGTAAGATACTTAATAAATAAATCTTTATCAAAATTTTTATTATTCACCAAAGAAAATGCATAACGTAATTGAGCATCACCATTTCCTTCATCAGCAGCTTCATGAAATAATTTAATGGCCTCCTCTTTATCTACATGACCACAATATCCTTCATACATATAATATCCTTTCCAATATTTAGCTAATGGGCTTCCTAATTCAGCATGAGCACAAAAACAAGCCCAAGCCTTTTCCCTCTCTCTGTTTTTATGTGCTTTAAGACCTTCTAAAAGTGGAATGATTTGTGTAATTGAACCAGGTTTATTAGCTTCTGGCAATTCTTTTTTGTCACTAACAGAAACAGCATATTTACTGCGTACTGTAGTACCATCTGGATTCACTCTTTTTTTTGGAAATGGGGTATTTTCATTGCTTTTACCATATTTTTTGACCAAATTATCCAGTTGAAAGAAAATATGTTGAAGAGATGACCTTGATGTAGGATCATCTTGCCAAGCTTATCCAAAGAAATGAGTAATTGAAACATAGATGCTTATATTATTACTTATTATTTTCTATAAAGATTAAAAACTATATATATATAATTTACAATTTGACAACTTACCACCCATAAAGATATTTGAATATTCTTCTTGTAGTTTTAATATTTTTTTATCTGAATAATCATAGGTAATCTTTTCTCTTTTTTCACTTAATACATGTTCTCTAATTTGTGGCATATCCCATTTGTCATAAGGGATTCTTTCAAATCCAAGCTCCCAAAGTAACATTCCAAAGCTAATTGTAGTATTTTTGATCCAAAATAAAATACATAAAATAAAATAAAAATAAAAAAATGAGGATATCATGATATGTATTATGGATATCATGTAATAAATAAAAAAAAAGTTTTTACCTAAATATTTCACACTTAAAATTATAAGATTGTCTAAAATTATACAACAACTTTTCTGGAGCCAACCAATGCACAACAACTGTTAAATTTTTCAATTCTCTAGTAGCACCTTGAACATCACGAGCATAATCAAAATTTGTAATTTTTGGTTCCTTTTTTTTGGTCATCTGATGTATTTAAATAAAATAAATATTATTTTAGATAAATAGTAAATCAAGTATATATATATATATATAGTGCTTTTTAATTAGCACAATATTTCCACAACGTATATCATGATGAAGTATTTTACATGAGTGTAAAAACGTAAGTCCATGACAAATTTCAAGAGCTATTGATACTTTGTCAGGCCAACTAATATCATATTCATTATAAACATCATCCAAACTTCCCATTTCTGCCCATTCAAGGACTATAACTGCTCCATCATCAACAGTAGAAAGACCATAAAATCTTAGTATATTATTTGAATCATGTAATTTTTCCCAAATAGCTAGTTGTGATTGAACAGTTTGATAATCAACTGGCTCATTAGCTTCATCTGGAATTGTTATAGGCTGACAAGCAACTTCTATATTATTATTTAAAATTCTTTTGCAAAGATAAGGTGACCTTTTTCTTTTTCCTTGAGAATCAGATTTTTTTGTAAATTTAGGATCTTGTAACATAGTTGGTGGTATTTGAGCAGTCTTTAAAAGATTGTTATTAGAATCTCGGGTTTTGATAATAAGTATTTCTTGCAAAGAAGTGTTCATTTGTTTTTTATCAACAACAATTCCACCATTGATTGATTCCCAAAACTAAATTTTTAAAAATATAAATAAATTGATTCTATTACAATTAAAATATATTAATTATAATATGTATATAAATAAATTTTAACCTTTTTCATTTCTTCATGATCCACTTTTAAACTTTGTTGATCAATTAATTTTTGCTCTTCAGGAGAGACAGTCATTTTAAAATTTAAATTTCTCATAACAGTATCAATTTCTTGAGTAAGATTTCCAAACATTTCTTCAAAATTTTTTGTTGAATTATATTTATTATATCCAGAAAGATGAGTAATATCCTCAAGAAATGTTTTTATTTTTGATAATACAGTGGCTAAACATACAAAATACTTGTAATAATTTTCATCATGAAAAAGATGTATATTTTCCTTTTTTCTACGTTCTAGATATTTAATGCAATTTATAATAGCATCCACACGATCTAAAAACACACCACAAATTCTTTTGTTATATTCTGCATTTTGAAATATATTAAGAATTTGCCGTGCCACAGTATTTGTTGTGGCTATCAAAGAAACAAAAGGTTTAAATGCTTCTCCTACAGGATCAACAGTATTATGTAATGATTTATTTATAATTAGTGTGAAATGTAAATCTTGCATAACAGTATCAATTTCTTTGACAAGTGATTCAAAATTTTCTTTAACATTATTTGCATTAATAAATTTTCTATATCCATGAAGTTCAATAAAATCTTTTACTTTTTTCAAAACTTCAGTAAAATGCATAAAATTTTTATAATATATCTCATCTATTATATGTTCTTTTTTTTGTTGTAAAGCTTTGATTGATGATTGAGCAGCTTCCACACAATCAAGGAAAGCATTGCAATTTTTTTTATTATATTGGGCATTTTCATAAACTTTAATTATCTCCTCCACCAAAACAGTTACTATGTCTATCAAAGGAACAAAAGGTTTAACAATATCTCCAATAATGTCAACAGCACCAAGTGCTTGTTTGGTTATATCCAAATCACTGCTAATTGAATCAGCAGGCAAGTCTTTTGGTGTAGAATCCAAAATCTCATTTATGTTGACTTCTTTTTTTTTCAAAATCATAAATTGACACATGCTTACTGAAGGTTTGGGAATAAATCCAAGGTCATAACTCACAGTATTTTTCCAATTCCTTCCATCTTGAGATGAAATTATACAGATCTTCCAATTATTCCATTCTCCATAAAAATATGTTAAATAAAGTTCATTATCAAAATTTTCTAATAAGAAGGAGGAATGTGAAATATATTGAGGATTAGTCATGTATGGTTTATGCCAATTGTTTCCATCATCAGTATAAGAAATATTTATTTCATATGAAGATCCTACATGCACCATATAAAGTTTATCCTTAAATGTTTTCAATGCAACAGAAAAATGTGTATATAAATCCAAGTCAGTTGCAAAAGGATCAATCCAATTGATGCAATCTTTAGAGTAAGAAATAAATATTTTATAATGTTTGCCTTGTTTTTGTTTTTTCACAAAAGCTAAATAAAGTTTGTCCCGAAATGCTGCTAAGCTTGCAGCACCATCAATATTCCACTCAAATTTTTGGATAGAGTTCCAGTTATTCTCATTTTCATCAAAAGACAAGAAGATATCACCCTCATTTCCTATATAAGCCATGTAAAGTTTCTCATTAAATATCTCAAAGCTGACAGGTAGTGAGCTACAATAAGATGTTTTGATATGTTTCCAATAATCTATATCATCAGTAGAAGTGATATATATATGTATTTGATCATCATGATTTGAGACCAAATAAAGTTTCCTGTTGAAATTTGTTATTGTGACTGCTGAACTAATACTTGACAGACTAAAATCAAAAAAAGAATAAGGACCATCCCATTTTTTTCCATCTCCAGAACAATACATTAATATTTGATTTTTATCTCTTCCCATTATTGATAAAATTAATTGAGAAATCTTTGAAACATCTTTTTCCATTGTACTGGTAACTTGAAAATAAGAATAATTTGTTTCCAAATTAATATCATTTAAATAATTTGTTCCTGAATTGGAATTATTTGAAGCATTCAATGATAAATTTTCAATATTTTTCATTAAACTACTCTCTGATAAAGTAATATTATCAGCCTTTTGTTTTGTGTTGCCAATGTCAATTGTTTCTAAAAACTCTACTACTTGAGACATTTGTGGACGTTTTTCAGGGTTGTCTTGCCAACATGCTATTGTATAAATAAATAAAAAATTCTTGAATTAACTCACTAAAAAAAATTTAACTTTAAATATAATTTTTTACTTGTATACAGGTCAATATAAGGTTCAGGTGTCCCTGGAATTATATTTTCTCGAGTTCCATTAATAATTTGTGAAATAAGATCTAAACCAATAGATGAAAAATTTTGAAATGGTGTTCTTCCACTAGATATCTGCCACATTAGGACACCTATGCTATATACATCAGATGCTTCTGTTTGTATGTAGTTTTTAAAATCTTTTAAAAATCTAGGATCAGAGTACTTTACAGAGCCAAATGCTTTGGGAAGTGATATTGTGCCATCAACAATTGACTTTGATAATCCAAAATCACCAAGTTTTATGTCATCATTATGAATAAAAATATTGTCTGCATGCTTTTATAAAATAATAATAATTGTTTACCATTTTGAAAAGGAGAAAAAAAATATAATTTAAAAAAAGATATTTACCAAATCTCTATGAATTATTTTATTATTATGAAGACACAATACAGCACTTGAGATTTGTTTAGCAAATTTTAATTTTAAATTCCAATCCATTTTATTAAAACTTTTTGATAAATAATGAGATAGTGTGCCATTATTTGCATACCCCATGACTAGCATATATGTATCTAAAACAAAAATTATTAATAAAAATCAAAACCTTTTTACTTGAGATAAAAATACTTTTTTACCATTTTTGGTTATGCCATAGAAACTTATAATATTCTTATGCATTTCAACTTGTCGATGTAGTTGAAGCTAAAAAGAAGACATCAAGATTAATAAATTCACATTAAATAAAGATAATTGAAGATAAATATAGACGGATAGCAGCCATTACCTCATTTACAATTTGTTCAAGTGTTTGTTCAGAAGCAAGGCCTTTTTTCATCGATTTCAAAACCATGGGTTTCCCATAGATAGTATTATATGCTTTATAAACCGTTCCAAATGAACCACTCCCAATTTCATCAACCTCACTAAATACTTCATATTGATGAAATTTCAAATGTCTATTTTCAATTGCCTCATCAATCCACTCGCTCATTTTTTTTAAAACGAATTGGTGTAACGAAGTTCATTACACCAGAGACGATGATTTTCTTCTAAAAACAAATATTGTGCATTAAAAACTATTCTATGCATTCTGCAGCTTTTTATGATTATTCGTAAACAAAATAGAAATTCTAAATATTTAAGCTGCTATTAAAATAAAGCATATTTGAAACTGTGTAAAGACACTTTAGATAAATTTTGTCTATTTAGAAAACCGTTCTAGCATTATGGGAAATTGCAAAATTTCATGCGCATATTAAAAATTAAAAAGGCTTTAAATTTTATTGTTTAAAAAAAAAAAAGGATTTAGAATATGTATAAATGTCTAAAAAAAGGGATCTAAATATCATTTTCAATATTATCACCACCACTGCTTTCTTCTTCACCATCATCGTCGCTTTTATCACTTTCGCCGCACATATTTCCATCAATGATTGTAATATCCATTTGTCGGTACTTTTTGGACATTTTAATTTGTTAATTAAAAATAAATATACATTTTTTTTATCAATGTATAAAAGAAAAGGTGGACCAATTCCTTTCAGAAGCAAGCCGATAAAAGACCAAATTTTTGATTTTATCATTCCTTAAAAATACTATCAAAAATATAATCAATAATAACTTGGTAAAAATTAAAAATTCTTTTTTTTTTTTTTTGAATAGAATTATCCATGGGACATTGGCATATGTGCTGATTTTGTTTGAACCCAAAATCCAGTACAACGTTATGAATACTTTATATTAGTCAAACCCATTGGTTTGACGGGCTATCGAATAGTAAAATAGTTTTTTTAGCATATTTTTTGGGGTTAATTATCATTCTATTGACCAGTTTACACATAAAAAACCAAGACATGATTTGAAAAAAATCATGCGCATGTCACATCTCTAGTTATAACCCAGATTGTTAACGGGGTTAATGTTATGACTCGCGAATAAATCGGAGAAAAAAATCCCAAATTTATGGTGCAAGAGTGAACTATATTAATTTTTAGAAAAAATTGTTTTTTTGAGATTTACTTTATTCATATATAAAAGGATATCATTCTGTGGAGCAAAAAGAGTAATACAACTTTTCGTGCAAAAAGGTTGATGGTTAGTAGTTTAATTAGCAATTTTACAAATCTGTGTTTCCTACACAGAAAAGTTTTTCCATCGCAAATTGGGGATCAAGATTAAAACTATTTGGTCAATTAAATCTTTATTTACAAATCTTTTGTCACATCACATTCATGGCTTGTTTGTATGATCTAGTAAATGACCTTTAGATAAAGCATATGTGCTGATTTTGTTTGAACTCCAAAATTCAGTACGATATGATCGTAACTTTATACTAGCAAAAACCCATTGGTTTTGAGGTGGAGACATTGGTTTGACGGGTTATTGAATAGAAAAAATGTTTTTAGGGTTAATTATCATCGTGTTTGACAATAATAATAAGATATAATAAGGGAAAAACCAGATCGGCTGATAGAAAGGGGGATAACTGCATTTCTATTCGAAATTTTATTGAGTATGAATTATATATTATTGTTAACTAAATCATAATGTTTGTAATTATCCCTGTTTCTATTGATATTGATATGCCTTTTTTAAACGAAAAATATCTAAAAACTCATTATTAGTAAATTAAAATAAATATTATCAATAAATAATAAATAAATAAATAAATAAATAATCATTTATAAATATATAAAAATACAATTATGATTTTCTTTTGTTGATCAATAATTATAAATATTGATTTCCATTCTCTTTAATATTTCAGTAGCATTTGGATGTTTATTTAAAGCTGCTAATTTCAAATATTTAGTTCCTTCCACTTTATCTTTTTCAACACCAAGTTTTCCATTAATATATATATCACCCAAATTAAATTGCGCATTGGGATTTGAATTGTCAGCAGCCATTTTAAGATATTGGAGAAATTCTTCTTGATTGTACTTAGTTTTATCTTCAAAAAATGAGAATGCATATCTTAATTGTGCATCAGCAACACCTTCATCAGCTGCTTCTTTGAACAATTTGGCTGCCAATGTTTTATCTTTATAGCCACAACATCCTTCCCACAAATAATATCCTTTCCAATATTTTGCTTTTGAATTGTTAAGATCAGCATGTGCTTGAAAACATGTCCATGCTGTTTTGTAATCTTTGATTTTATGGGCTGAAATACCCTCCTCAAGTGTAATAATTTGTGTAATTACAGCAACTTGAGGAGGTTCTTTGAATTGACTATTAATATCTCTATCACTTACAGAAATAGGTTTCTTTCCTCCTCTTAAAGATCCATCAAAATCAATACTTTTTGATGGGCGTAAACGTGATTCATCAACAGGAGGGGGGTATTGTGAATATAAACCATTTAATTGAAAGAAAACATTCTGAAGTGATGATCTTAATAAAGGATCATTTTCCCATGCTTTTTTTTGGTAAATATTTGCAAATCAAATAATAAGTTAAAAATATTAATTTCAAATAAATACTAATAAATAAATTTGTTTGTATGTTAAATTATTAATCCTACCTCCTCTTATAACTTTGGCATAATCTTGTTGGAGATTTTTGGTTTCATCATCTTCTTCACCAAATTGTATGTTCTCTCTACCACCAGCTAACACATATTCCTTAATTTTTTCCATACCCCATTTTCTATAAGGTATTATTTCAAAAGCAAGTTCCCAAAGCAACATACCAAAACTATACACAGACAATGTAAATCATTAATCACTGAATTATAAATATTTGATTTTTTTAAAAAGTGTACCTGAAAATTTCACATTTAAAATCATAACGTTGGTTTAGTCCAAGTCTCAATTTTTCTGGAGCCATCCAATGAACAACTTCAGTCATATTTTCCACATCAGAAGTTTCACCATGAGTATAACGAGCATAACCAAATTTAGCAATTTTTGATTTATAATTTTTGTCCATCTTTTATAAATAAATAAAATATTAATATTAAATAGATAATATAATAATATTTAATAATTAATCAATAATAAATTTTAATTACCAAAATATTATCACAACGAATATCATGGTGAAGAATTAGACCACTATGCAAGAATGTAAGGCCACGACAAATTTCAAGAGCTATTTCAACTTTAGTACACCATCCAACATCATAATTCTCATAAACTTCTTTTAAACTGCCCAATTCTGCCCATTCAAGCACCATCACTGGCGCACCATCAATAGTTGAAAGACCATAAAATTTTAATATATTATCTGAATCACTTAGCTTTCCTAAAATCGTAAGTAGTGCTTGTACCTTTTGATATTCTTGTGGATTTTCTTTTTCATTTGGTATTGAGACAGCTTTACATGCAACATCTTTTGCTGATTTTTTCCAGAATTTCTTAATAATATGAGATGATTTTCCCCGACAATCAGTTATTTTTGAAAACAAAGGATCCTCTAACTCAGTTTGTGATATTTCATCTGCTTTAATGGGATTTTCATTAGGTGGTAGATTTTTATTATTATCAAATGATTCCATTCGATCTTTTAAAATCAAAACTTCTTGAAGTACTGTATTAAGTTGTTGTTTGTTATCAACAATGTCACCATGAATATCATCTAAAAACTGATTTTTTTAATTAAGAAAAATTTAGCAGATAATAATAATAATAATAATAATAATAATAATAATAATAATAATAATAATAATAATAATAATAATAATAATGATAAT